GGTGGAGGGTGTCCATTTGGTTTCTAGTGAGCCATGGAGCCGAGCGCCTAGTCAACTTGAAAACAATGGATGGAGCCCAGCCATGGCACCATCTCCTCATGCTGGGTCTAGAGTGGCCAGCGGGGGCCCGGGGTCTCTTGCCCTGTTTATCTCTGGATGAGATCCCATGGTAATTAATCAGGTCATTTATAATTAAAAGTTTTGTTTGCAAATAAACTGCTAATAGGAGAAAATCCTAAAGGTAGTTTGACCCAGACTCAGGAAAACGTGTCATGGGAAGAGGGGCTGTACCCTGAGACTGAGTGGACAAAGCCCCCCATCTCTCATGACGTGGCGGAAGGCCTGGACTTCCCAAGCTCTGGCATGAACTTGTAAGCTGGACGCTGTGCTGTCCCCCTAAAGCTTGTGGCCCTTTCCCCAAATCATAGCCTAAAATAATTCATCAATCTGTTAGCTTTTGGGTTATTTTGGCGGTTTTTTTTTTTAAAGCTTTAGTGCCTGCCAATACTTATCTGCCAATGAGTGCTAGCAAATGCCCACATGAAACAATAAATCCGTAAGTGCTCAAGTTGGAATTGCGTGTAATATGAAAGGGTTTTGTTGTTGTCGTGGCTCCTTATTGTGATCTTTTGGCATTAGATACATAGAAAGTAATTACTTTCTGCAAATAAAATGATCCTTACTTTGCTTGGTGGATCTAAGAATACTCATGTATAATGGTTTTCAGTGGCGGGAGCCTGGCTTCTGGGCTCCACGCCTCCCGAACAACTTGGAGCAGCGCTGCCCAAGGGCACAGCTAAGGCCTGAAGTTTTAGGGAGTCTGGCTTGGGCTCAGCATTTAGAATAATCTAGCAACCCAGAGTTTAAAAATGAAACGGGTTGTGGTTTGAAAATTAATCCCCATCACTGAAGTTCCTCAAGTCAAGACCAGGTGGCCCCCTGCTGGAAGCATCTTGGAAGGGATTCCAGCATTTCCATCCTTGCAGGAGAGATGATGCACAGCCTCTAAGAAGCAGTGTTGACCCCTCCGTTTCCATGAGTTGTCGGGAGCTCAAAGCTTATTGAACCCCTTTTGATAGAGAGTAGATAGTCACTTCACTTACTGAACATGTTCTGCCCTTCCAGAGTCAGTCGGGCCTGCTGATTCAGTCAGAATAATTTTTAGTTGCTCCTACGAGCCAGGCGTGGTGCCAGCCGTCCAGCCATGAGCAGGCTTACTCTCAAGGGGGTGCACCCTGCCTTTAGGGAGCATCAGAGCCACCTGGAAAGCTTGTTAAAGGCTGATTACTGGTTCCCATCCTCAATTTCTGATCCATCTGGGGCCTGAGTCTAACAAGATCCAGGTGCAGGTTCGTGAACCATACACCTGTGAGTAGCACTGGTTTAGGGCAATGGTTCTCAACTGGGAGGGATTTCCTGCCCTCCCCACGCCCCTACTCACATCTGACAATATCTGTGACGTTTTCGTTTGTCACCACTGAGGGGAGCTGTGGGGGGTGGTGCCACTGGCCTCTGATGGGTAGAAGCTGGGGGTACTGCTAAACATCCTGTGATGCACAGGGCAACCCCCCTCCAAAAAAAGTAAGCAGCCCACATGTGATTAATGCCAAGGTGGAGAGAACCTTGACTCGGGAATGACAGAAAATCAAGTGCTGGCGATAAACTCCGTGAGGAATGTTTTGATAGACTGTGATCAGGGCAGTTTAGAGCACCACAGCTGGGCCTAACCTAATCTAGGGGGGCAGTCAGGGACATGGAGAGGTGAACAGGCTCACCTGCTCATAGGGGCAGTCGGGACATGGAGAGGTGAACGGGGCTCACCTGCTCACGGGGCAGTCAGGTGTGCATACAGCAGGGGTGTTTGCTCTTTTAACTGAGGAAGGAAACAAGTGAATTGCAGAGAGACCTGCCTGAGAGGGCGGGGTTTGGCATTTCACAGCATAAGTGACATTTAACAGCTTTATTGATTGGGTAGGATTCCTCCAGGACTGTTCTGCCCCAAGGGAACTCAGTAAGCACACCCAGGTGAGAACCTGCAAGTGGGCAGTGGTGGTGGGCCTGGAGTGAGTGTGTGCTGGGAGGGGCCGGAGAGGGCCCGTGGTGGCCACTTCAGCAAGGCCTTTAAAGCCACAGTCAGAAGAGGAACCATTATCCTGAAGGCAAAAGAGATAATTGGAAGGCATAAAACAAGAATGTTCAGGCCGGGCTCAGTGACTCATGCCTGTAATCCCAGCACTTTGGAGGCCTAGGCAGGTGGATCACAAGGTCAGGAGTTCGGGACCAGACTGGCCAACATGGTGAAACCCCGTCTCTACTAAAAATACAAAAATTAGCCAGGCATGGTAGCGTGCACCTGTAGTCTCAGCTACTCGGGAGGCTAAGGCAGGAGAGTTTCTTGAACCCGGGAGGCAGAGGTTGCAGTGAGGTGAGATTGTGCCATTGCATTCCAGCCTGGGTGACAGGACAATACTCCATCTCAAAAAAAAAAGAAAAAAGAATGTTCATTGTGTTTTATGAGACAATGGGATCTCAGTTAAGAGGCTTTCCTGTCGATCAGTTGGCCTTGTGAAAAGCTTTTAATTAAGTGCCTCAACTATAATGGCCAAGTCAACTTTTTGTATAATAGCTATTCCATTTGTTTGTATTTTAAATCTAGAAATTTGATACACAGATTCTTCCCCCAGAAAGCTGAAAGGGCCAGAGTCTCTGCTGTCGCTGAAGCCTGTGTGGGAGTGAGGAGGCTGTCCCAGCAGCCCAGCCATGTAGCTGGTCCTGCAGGCCGCAGGTGTTGGGCACATCAGGAGTTAGTCCTGCTCATGCTTTATTGAGAGCCAGGGGCCCAGCTGGGGACAGGCCTTCTCATCCTGACAGGGTCTCAACCCCAATGTAGAGCATTTGAGGTTAAGAGCACCTCCCAGCCGGGTGCAATGGCTCACGCCTGTAATCCCAGTGCTTTGGGAGGCCGAGGTGGGTGGATCATGAGGTCAGGAGATCGAGACCATCCTGGCTAACACGGTGAAACCCCGTCTCTACTAAAAATACAAAAAATTAGCCATGCGTGGTGGCGGGCACCTGTAGTCCCAGCTACTCAGGAGGCTGAGGCAGGAGAATGGTATGAACCCGGGAGGCGGAGCTTGCAGTGAGCCAACATCACGCCACTGCACTCCAGCTTGGGCAACAGAACGAGACTCCGCCTTAAAAAAAAAAAAAGAAGAAGAAAAAAAGGAGCACCTCTCACCCCCAAGCCAGAACGCACTGGCTGTTTTGGGGACAGGAAGGCCTTCCATCCTGGGGTGTTGCTGATTCTATCTCAAGTATTCACAAGTATTTTTCTGTCCCTCCATGCAGGGTCTGCAGGACACACACAAACACTTGTTAATTTCCCCAGCAGGCAGTTTAATGAGCTCGCGGTGTATTTTTTACACGATCCAGTTGTCTGGCAGATTGTGGCTGATCAGCCACCCCCTTGACTACTGCATCAGAACCCCATTGGAAATTGCATCTCCCTCTAAGCTGATCAGGTTTGACTGACCCAAGCGCCACAAACATTAATTAAATGATTTCTGTAGTCCCAGCATTATACCAAGTGATTTTTAACATGTTTAGTTTTTAACATAGTTTTTTAATACATGCACATGGTTAAGATAATGTAAAGAGTACTGAAGATTATGTAATGAAAAGTAAGACTAAAAGTAAACTTTCTTCCTCCTCTACCCCAATTCTTCATTTTAGAACTTCTTAGAAACTAGTCAATTTCTTATGTGTTGTCATAGAGATATATTTTGCATTTGCAAGCATTCTTTATGAGTGTTTAACAAAAATGACCAGGTGTTCCTGTGTAATTTTTTCCTTTCAAATATATCCTGAGGTTGGTAACGTTGCCCCCACGTTATAGGTGAGTTCCTTGAGACTGTGAAAGTCACTTGCCCAGTGTCACACAGTGAGTGGCACAGCTGGCATTTAGATGCTTATGTAGAGCCATAGGCATTCAGACTGGGAGTTCTAGTTGTAAGTAGAATTGAACCGACTAATGCCAGGCGAGCTAACAATTGGATTCTCCAAGAAAGTTCGCTTTTGTCCCACTTGATACCGATGTCTTTTTTATATGTTGGCTTATTTATTTAGATGAAGAATGAGGGCTTCGCAACAGAGAGGAATATCCATGCAGCTTCCCTCTCCTCCCTAGCAGTTTAGTTCTGGCCCCCAAATTGCACACACCACTGACCAGACAGTGTACAGCCAGACCCTGCTCCCAGAAGGCCACTTAGGGACCAGCGGTGGTTACTCAAGCTGCCGCCCAGCCCAGCTTCTTACAGTGTTCACACGTCTGGGGATGTTTTGGCTTCTTGTTGGTGCTCGAGCCCCCGTGCAGATTGGCAGCCCAGCCTGGTCTGTGTCTTTACCTGCCCCAGGTGCTAGATAGGCGCCAGCTCTGTCAGTGGCCGTGCACCCTTTGGTAGAGGTTGGAGCTGTTCCACACAGGGAGCAGAGCAGATCCATTCTAAGCCACCTGGTGTCCAGAGGGCCCGAACTCCCGTTCCAGGAGGAATGGAGATTCCCAGAGGCTTTCCCAGCAGCTCCATCATGACAGCAGCAGTGACCACTGGGGGCATCTTGAAACCAGATGGACTGTTTGCAGTCTCAGTGGGAGTTCTCAAAAAGACTCATCAGAATGGTCTCGCAGGTGATTGGTAGGTTGGGAACGAGGTACCTGCTGCATGGGGACTCTGGCATGAGGTGTCTTTGTGGCCAGGGCTTCATGGTGGTGCCTCCCAAAGGCCCTGGGCACCTCCTTGGGAGAGCTTTGAGAGGGGACATATGTACCATTTAGAAGGTATTGTCTAATGCACTCTTGCCCACAGAGAAGTGCTGTCTGAAGCCCAAACCCTGTTTTTAAGTTACAGTTGTTTAAGGTATTTGCTTAGAATTTTAGTTCCTGATGCTAAAAAACTGAGCTGCATTCCATGACTTTTGCACTGATCATTTCTCTTAATTGGCAGGTAACAAGGAGGGAGCGTATTCTTCCACCTTCTGGGTGCTGCTGAGTATCTTCCTAGGAGCAGTGGCCATGCTGTGCAAAGAGCAAGGGATCACCGTGCTGGTGAGAGCCGCGACATGGCCGCCGGGGCCTGCTTTTTCTGTGTATCCTTTTCCCTCCTATAAAGACATCTGGGGCTGGCCCTGCCTTTGTGGCATTCTCCACGCCTTCATCCCATTGCTGGCCTGAGGTGATGACCTTTCTGGGCAAATGACTTTCGCTGTCACAATTCTGGCATTTCAGATGGAGAACTGACTGTCTTCCTTGACAGTCATGTGCAACTGGCGAGAAATGGTGAATGAGGAGTTCTCAGGGAGCCACGATGAGTCCTTTTGAGAGGCCCTATCGAAAGAGATAAAAGAATGGTTTGAGTTTTCTGGGATGCTCGTACATATTTCAGCAGTCCTAGATCACCTAGGACTGACTTCATCAATCGTTTTGATCTCAGATCTAGAAAGGGTGGCGGATAGTTTAGTAATGAAGAAACAGGGCCGGGCGCCATGGCTCACGCTTGTAATCCCAGAACTTTGGGAGGCCGAGGCGGGCGGATCACCTGAGGTCAGGAGTTCAAGACCAGCCTGACCAACATGGAGAAACCCCATCTCTACTAAAAATACAAAATTAGCCAGGTGCAGTGGCACATGCATATAATCCCAGCTACTCAGGAGGCTGAGGCAGGCGAATCGCTTGAACCTGGGAGGCGGAGGTTGCGGTGAGCCAAGATCATGCCATTGCACTCCAGCTTGGACAACAACAGCGAAACTATGTGTCCAAAAAAAAAAAAAAAGTAAGAGATGAAGGAACAAGAGTTTTGCAGCCACTCAAAGCCTCACGTGCACACACATTCTGTCTCTCTTCTCATCATTCCCCCACCGCCAGCAGTTACCTATGGTTATAGTTAACCATTACCCAAGTGCAACTTCAAGCAACGCTGGAACCAAAATGTTCCATGGTCACAAATGTTTGACCTGAAATTAAAAGATTACTAACTAGTATTTAAAGGAGAATCTGTAATGCTGCTAATGTTTCTAGTGGGACTTTGTTCTCAGAAGACTCTTTTTATGCCAGATGTGCTGAGTAATCACGTGTTTTAACTTCGAGCCTTGAAGTCTCTCTCTGTGTAATATGGTGCATACACTGTATTCTCTTGGGGTATGTTGTTTTCCTGGAGAGAACCTGTACCTCGGCTTCCACCGGCAGCGTCGAGCGGGTCGGGGAGAGAGCTCTCTGAAGCGGAAAGACATCTACCTTTTCAGTCCGATCTGAGTAGAAGCTAGGATTAAAGACCCAGGAAAGGAGAGGTGTTGAAATCCTTTTTTCTTTTTCTCCATTCTAACCAGTTTGCTGCTTTACATTATTAGAAGAAAATATAGAAGTTAAGGTTGTGAACAGAGGTAGAAAAATGGAAAGATGTGGAATTTTTTCTCCTTTTTTTTTTTTTCGAGACAAAGTCTTGCTCTGTCACCCTGGCTGGAGGGCAGTGGCACGATTATAGCTCACTGCAGCCTCAACGATCCTCCCACCTCAGCCTCCCAAGTAGCTGGTACTGTAGGTGCATGCCACCACCTCGGCTAATTTTCTAAAATTTTTTTGTGGAGATGGGGTCTCCCTGTGTTGGCCAGACTGGTCTCAAACTCCTAGCCTTGGGATTACAGGCATGAGCCATCGTGCCTGGCCGAGTCGTGGGATTAGAATGATCATATAGAAATAGCTTGGAAAGGAAAGAACAATTAAAGCTGTTTGGGGCTTGATACAAGTCAAGGCAAAAATCAGTAGTTGTATTAGGTTGTATCTATTAAGATTAAGCTAGCAAGGAGATGGTATAGGGAGAATTACCGTGGAAAGATACTTGAATTTCTGAGTTAATTTTCTTTAAATTTGCTCTAAAACAGTGTTTCTCAACCTTGGCACTATTAATGTTTTACAGCAGACAATTCTTTCTCGTAGGGGCTATTCTGGGCTTTGTGGGATGTTTAGCGGCGTCCCTGGCCTCTACGTACTGAGTGCCAGTGGAACCTCTCAGTTGTGACAACCTAAAATGTCTCCAGACAGTGCCAGACACCCCCTGGGGGGCACAACCCTCCCTGAGAACCACTGGTTTTAGAACCTTTCCCTAATATGAAGTGTGGTTTGAGGACCAGAAGCATCAGCAATATCTGGGAGCATGGTTGGGAATTCAGGATCCCAGGCCCCACCCCCTCCCCAGGCCTGCTGAGTAAGAATTTCCCTCCACAAGATCCTCAGGAGGCTCCTCTGTGCAGTATTTTATTTTATTTTATTTTATTTTTTATTTTTATTTTTATTTTTATTCGAGACAGGGTTCTCTCTTGTCGCTCTCGCTGGAGTGCAGTGGTGCAGTCTCAGCTCACTGCAACCTCCGCCTCCCGGGTTCAAGCGATTCTCCTGCCTCAGCCTCCTGAGTAGCTGGGATTACAGGCATGTGCCACCACGCCCGACTAATTTTTGTATTTTTAGTGGAGATGGGGTTTTACCATGTTGGCCAGGCTGGTCTCAAACTCCTGACCTCAGGTGATCCACCCACCTCAGCCTCCCGAAGTGCTGGGATTATAGGCATGAGCCACTGCACCTGGCCTCCTCTGTGCCGTTTTTCAGGAGCAGGAGAGAATTCAGTTGAATTTACATGAATAAAGATACAGTGGAAGGTAGCTATTCTCAAAATTGGATTAAAATGGGGCCATTTTGATGAAGCATTTAAGAGGGAAGGGGGCAGTCTTGTGTTTGGCTCAGGCCTGTTCACCACATGACCCTGCCTTCCCTTGGTAACTGTCCTGCAGCTCACAGGAAGACTGTGAGAAGACAGTGGCTGCTACACAGGGAGCATCTGCCTTCTAGAAAGTGGTTTTCAACCAGGCGGAAACCGTCTTCTGTGGCCCACTAAGATCATGTCTCACATGGGTGAATAAAATCAGGATTCTTTGAACTGATTAACCCAGCACTGGCCCATGTATCGGATAATTAGTGGCTCCCAGCATTTCCGGGAGAGGGTTAAGTAGGGATGTCATCCTTGCTCTGAAAACCACAAATTACCACTGACTTCTGATGATGTGTGATCTCCTTTGCTGCAAAGAAGAGCATATTAAAGAGACCCAAGTCATTTAGGGGCAGCTCTAACTATATCCACTGAGCATGTGCAGACCACGTTATCCAGATTGAGCAGGGAGTTCTGTCGATGACGTTGCCTGCAGCAGTGACATTTGTAGAAAGTCCATTGCAGGAGAGAGAATAGAATCCAAGGCCCATCTCTGCTTTCGCCTGTAACTACAGGTTTAATTTTACCTGCTAGAAAGTAACTATCGTGGTGCAATTGGAAACTGTTAACATAGGTGGACAGCTAATTGAAGTTGTTGTTCCCTTCATGGGTCATGGGCAGAGCTGTAAATTAATAGAGGTAGCCATCCTCCACACCACGGCCCCACCTGGCAAAGGCCTGCTCTCATCAATGTGTGGTTTCCAAAGTCACCTTGGGCATCTCCATTCCAGCCAGCTGGAAGGGGAAACCATGTGGGAATGTGTGCCCAAGTTTTACAACCAAACCTCCAAAATGGTACACGTCACTTCTCCCACATTCCATAAGGCTAGAACTCAGCCCTGCGACCTAGCTTAACTGCAGGGGAGGCTGGGAGATGTCATCTAGCTGTAACCCAGGGAGAAAACTACCAGACAACTAGATTTCTGCACAAGAGATCTCCAGAGCTCCATCAGAGATTATCATGTATGTTCATCCCATTTATAAAGATGCCGAAGTCCACTGGCACTTAAGGTTCACTTACGTGGCTGGGTTTTTGAGGTTGATGGCTGCCTTTATCTTCCAGTATGATTACTGCCCAGGAGAAGAGTCTGTTGCATGAACTAAAGGACTGTTTTATAGTGACCAAAAGAAGCAGGGGGGAGGGATCTCTTGAGGGCTTTTTCTAGGAATCCCAAATTTCTAGTTATCCTGAATCTTGTAGAACTCCTACACATAGACTGTGAAATCATTACTATCAGGGGCTTAGTAAATAATAAATATGATCTATTACCTTGAGCTAATTTCATAGAAATGGAGGAGGGCTGTTTTGTGTTTTTTTAGAGAGCTGCAGAGGTCTTCCGTGATTCTCTATGTGTTCCTTGTCTAGATGGAGTAATGAAATTGTGAAGTCTAATTGCTGTCTAACAGAGCCACACTCTCCCGTGGCTGATTGTCTTGCTTTGCTTTCTTAGGGTTTGAATGCAGTATTTGACATCTTGGTGATAGGCAAATTCAATGTTCTGGAAATTGTCCAGAAGGTACTGCATAAGGACAAGTCATTAGAGGTGAGTCTGCACTTTTATCTCCAGCCCAGACATGGAAAATGTCAAGTACCAGCTGATTTAAAATGCCATTTTCAAATATTCCTTGTGATTCTGAATTCTACAATAACCAACCTTTTAAAGCGCGGTGTTGAAGTAGTTCAGGCAGAATTGCTGCACGTCTGTACCTGGCTCAGCCACACTTTTATTTGAAAATCAGCCACCTCTGGGGCTTTGCGGTGTCCTTGCAGAGTCCCGGCATGCTCAGGAACGGGGGCCTCCTCTTCAGAATGACCCTGCTCACCTCCGGAGGGGCTGGGATGCTGTATGTGCGCTGGAGGATCATGGGCACGGGCCCGCCGGCCTTCACCGAGGTGGACAACCCGGCGTCTTTTGCTGACAGCATGCTGGTGAGGGTGAGTTCGGAGCCTGCCACTCCCTGGACTGTTTTCTTCCCCCACCAGATTCCCAGATCCCTCACCCCTCCTCCTCGTCTCACTCCCCTCCACGCCAACAGACTCCCCAATACACGGGCCACCTCCATGTTTGTTTGCGATCACTGAAGATGTTCTGGGATGAAAGCAGGTCTTCCTGAGGGGCTTGAAAGGGCGTGCGGAAGCTCTTTGCATTTCTGTTCTAACGAGGAGTAAAGAGGGTGGTTCCTTCTCACATAAGGGTCCTTGCCAGTCCCGTGAAAGGGCTCCCTAACCCTGCGGCTGGGTTAAGACTAAATATATAACCTTGTTGGTATCTTTAGAAGACTGGTGGTATAAGACTATTCTTTTAGATTTGCCTTTTTTCTAAAGGCAGGAGTATCAAGCCACAAATTCTTAGCTGTGCATTTCATAGAGACCAAAATCAAGAGAACAGCCATCGAACCCTGTTATGTTACTGGGTGCATAGGTGACCCTGGGGCCTCAGATTTCAGAGGTCATGGGCTTCAGGCAGCAAAGAGATCATAGCTTGGCCAGAAATATAATGAATGTATTGCATAGTCTGGTGGCTTTGCCATATTTTTATATACCAAAATCTGAATGCATTTAACACATTATAGACTGCAGCCTGTATTACAACTTGTAATACAAGTTGGCAACATTTTAGTTGATACAACTGCTTTCATTGAACAGAAGCATATGAGTGCCTCAAAAGTGAAGTTAGTGCATATATATATGTTTTTTAAGTTCAGTATCAAATAAATGTTTGTTTTCTTTTTGACCGACAGGCCGTAAACTACAATTACTACTATTCATTGAATGCCTGGCTGCTGCTGTGTCCCTGGTGGCTGTGTTTTGATTGGTCAATGGGCTGCATCCCCCTCATTAAGTCCGTCAGTGACTGGAGGGTAATTGCACTTGCAGCACTCTGGTTCTGCCTAATTGGCCTAATATGCCAAGCCCTGTGCTCTGAAGACGGCCACAAGAGAAGGTAAGAGGCAGCACTGAATCTTAAGTTCCACGCTGGTTGAGTCAGAAGCGTTTTGTGAAATCCTGCGCTGATCATTTTAACGATTTTGTGGAAGTCACATCTAAGGACATTTGTTTCAAATGCATATTTATGGCTAGGATGAGTTCCACCATTCGGAATCCATGGCTGGCTTCCGCGGGTGGGGAGCGAGGCTGGAAGAGGGGCTACGGATGACTGCTTCATCCCTCCCTCCCCCTTTCCCCAGGAAGTAGCATTTTGCGATCCTTTTCGCCATAGGTGGTAAAGAGTAATTTACGGTCAGAACAGAGAGTGTAATTGATGTGTGTTGTGCCCATTATTGCACAATTCTTCCTTAAAACACCCCAGTGAACGCTGCCGTGATTCCTTCTGTTGTTGCTGGGGACAAAACAAGCCACTGCCCCAAAGAGACTGTTCTTTCTTGATGGAAAAAAAAAAAGTTATTGAGAAAATAATTGGGGAAAACAAATGTGTTTCATGAAAAAGAAAACTGTTTAAGGTGATTTCTTTTAAGCCTAAGTGTTTATGGAATTAGTAATTTCTCAAAATAAATTAAGTTTTACGTTTACCTGTGTCTTAAATCGGTTGGTAATTCTAAAGAGCCACAAACTTTCGTCCCCGTTCCGTTATCCACAGAAAATGGGATTTTTAAAGAAATACTGTAGCCACAGGGCCCAGGAAGGAGCCACCAAAATGGACCTAGAGTCTTAATTCATCCTCTTGCATCATAGGGGACATTGGGAATGATCAAGTGGTTCTAGAAGTGTTTCAGTGCTCAGCTTCGTATCTCCCTGACTGAAATTTATGGTGACGTAGCAACCAAACAATGGTATTTGTTTATTTCAGATTTCATAAACTTTAAACTGCTTCAGTGTTATTATTCTCATTACATTTTGGAGGAAAATTTTTTCCCCATGAAAACTGATTGGGACAGTTTTTGAATTAATTGAGACCTACAGTGTCCACTGAACTGTTCAGTACCTAAACGGGTTGAGGCATAGTAAGGAGTAGAGGAATTAGTAAGGCCTCAGAAATGTGGTCATTCTAACTTTCTCCACACGAATTGTCTAGCTTTTAAGTTTTACCCTTAGACTCTGTGAAGTGCCTGAGGAATATTTTTATGCCTTATCCACATGCTGCCACATGCTAAACTCTCTCTACCAATGATATCCTTTGGCTGAAACAATATCTTTTCTCTGTTGATGCCATGGAAAAGAAAAGGTCTTTAGCATTAATTTAATGTGGAGTAGGACGTTTTTCTTGAGAAGTCTGGAAATAACCATTTATTTAAATACTTTTCATCATCCAGGATCCTTACTCTGGGCCTGGGATTTCTTGTTATCCCATTTCTCCCCGCGAGTAACCTGTTCTTCCGAGTGGGCTTCGTGGTCGCGGAGCGAGTCCTCTACCTCCCCAGCGTTGGCTACTGTGTGCTGCTGACTTTTGGATTTGGAGCCCTGAGCAAACATACCAAGAAAAAGGTATCAGCCGCCGGGCGCGATGGCTCACGCCTGTAATCCCAGTACTTTGGGAGGCCAAGGCGGTGGATCACGAGATCAAGAGATCGAGACCATCCTGGCCAACATGGGGAAACCCTGTCTCTACTAGAAATACAAAAAATTAGCCAGGCGTGGTGGGGGGCGCCTGTAGTCGCAGCTACTCAGGAGGCTGAGGCAGGAGAATGGCGTAAACCCGGGAGGCGGAGCTTGCAGTGAGCCAAGATCGCCTCTGCACTCCGAGAGTGGTGCTGATTGATGGACAAAACGACCAGAAGCATCTCACCGGTGACATTTACCATGTCTCTCTGTTCTAAGAAACTGATTGCTGCTGTCGTGCTGGGGATCTTACTCATCAACATGCTGAGATGCGTGGTGCGCAGCGGCCAGTGGCGGAGTGAGGAACAGCTTTTCAGAAGCGCTCTGTCTGTGTGTCCCCTCAATGCCAAGGTACCTAGCTGCCACATTTCTTTTAAAGAGACCTTACTAGGATATCTGTTAAGTTCTTGGGCTGAATAAGAACATTTCCTGTCATACAGTATTTAATGTAAGACATGACCGAATACTTGGGTTTTCCTTTGTTGTGTGTGTTTTTTTAATGATTTTGATAAGATTCATTAAAATTCCACTCAGCCAAAATTGAAAAGAAATCATTTAAAAGCAGACAATATCAATGAAATAGATGACTCTAATGAGGTGTTACTCATCTTCCAGATGATCTACTCACCCTTTGAAGTAGCTTCAGGGGAGGTGACATTGCGTATTCAGACTGAGGGTGGCCACGGCACAGATTCTGACGTCTAGAGCACACTTTTCAAAAGCCACTCTCTAGTGATAGCATTAACTAGCCTCCTTCAAGCTATAATTTAAAGAGGTAGTAATACCTACAAATTGGCAATAATTTGGTTCAGGAAGTTTAAATTATGCTATGTGCTGCACAATAGTACACATTTTTGTCACCTTTGGGTCCCCTGCTTGTGATTTTTTGGGGGTCAGATTAGGTAAACATAAATGTACATACAGTCATGTGCTATGTAACAATGTTTCAGTCAGTAGACTGCATATAGCATATATATGACCGTGGTCCCATAAAATTATACCTTTTTTTTTTTTTTTGAAACTGGGTCTTACTCTGTCACTCAGGCTGGAGTCCAGTGGTGTGATCTCGGCTCACTGCAGCCTCCACCTCCCGGTTTCAAGGGATTCTCCTGCCTCACCCTCCTGAGTAGCTAGATTACAGGTGCCTGCTACCACACCCAGCTAATTTTTGTATTTTTAGTAGAGACAGGGTTTCACCATGTTGGCTGAGCTGGTCTTGAACTCCTGACCTCAAGTGATCCACCCACTTCAGCCTCCCAGATGCTGCGTGAGCCACTGCCCCTGACCAATATTTTTACTGCCTCTTTTCTATGTTTAGATACACAAATCCTTACCACTGTGTTACCACTGCCTCCAGCACTCAGTACAGTCACACGCTACGCAGGTTTCTGGCCTAGGAGCAGCAGGCTAGACCACACATAGCCTAGGTGTATAGTAGGCTGTACCATCTAGGGTTGTGTAAGTACACTCTATGATGTTCAAACAATGACAAAATCACCTGACAATGCATTTCTCAGAATGTATCCTTGCTGTCATTAAGTAATGCGTGACTGTGCTCTAAAATTGGCAATGTTTTTGGTTGAAGCAATCTGGTAGGAATTTTTTCACTTGTATTCTTGATGAATCCAAGCTCTTCACTTGACTAGCTGGTGCCCCTTTGGGCAAAACTACACTTTTTAAAACTTTCCATGCCCTTTCCTATCAGAATTGGATAATACCCATCTGCTGGGTTTGTTGTTAGGGCTGAATGAACTAAAATGCCCTCACATGGTGGCCAGCACATAGTAGGTGCTCAGAAAGTGTTAGCTTTTTTTTTTTTTCCCCTCTGAGACGGAGTCTCGTTCTGTCACCCAGGCTGGAGTGCAGTGGTGCGATCTCAGCTCACTGCAACCTCCACCCCGGGTTCAAGCGATTCTCCTGCCTCAGCCTGCCGAGTAGCTGAGACTACAGGCGTGCGCCACCATGCCTGGCTAATTTTTGTATTTTTAGTAGAGACGGGGTTTCACTATGTTAGCCAGGCTGGTCTCAAACTCCTGACCTCGTGATTCGCCCAGCCTCGGCCTCCCAAAGTGCTGGGATTATAGGCATGAGCCACCGCGCCCAGCCAAGTGTTAGCTTTTGTAGGCTCATTTCAGTTTGGGTTTGCATTATGTTGAGTAGAATACTATTTGCTCAAAATGGGGGCCAAGGGAGTTAGGTTAGAAGAATTTCCTGTTAGTATAGATTATTATCATTAAATAATGATTCATTCTGTCTTAGGTCCTCAGAATAACAGGTGCCTAGATTGCTTAAATGCAGTCCTTCTGGGTGGAGACGGGGCACTCTCTGGATCTGTTTCATGTGTATGTTCCATATTTAAGGGAAAGAATGATTTCAGACAAAATTATGTAAACAAATCTAATGAATAGTTGACATCTTCTTATGAACCTTAAGTAAAGAGTAATATATAAGAGATACTGGCTACTTATCTTTTTCTTAGATTAAAATCTCTCGTTCATATTTTACAGTTAAGAGACTTAGATAAAATAATGAATTACTTTCAGCTTTTATCTTTAGTTTGATTTGCTGATTTATCAATTTATTTTATGCTACCAAAAATAAATTGCCTGTGATTTAATTTCATAAACATTAATAGATCTGCTTTATTTTTCCTTTACTGTTTGAATCATAGTAATTGCCCCTTCTATTTGTGGAGTTCCTCATCACAAGGAGTTCAGATTTCTTTACAAAGGCTCTATAATTCATCTCTATTATCCTGTCACTCAGCTTTTTAGAGAGAGAAGGTATTATTTTCTCTGTTTTCCCAGAGGAGAGAAACTGAGGCATAGCAAGATTAAACTGACATTATCTAGGTTAGTAATGTAGGTGGCTCGAGAGATACTTGGTGTGCATGTGCCCAGGTGCCTCTAGTAAATAAGGGGGATGGAACACAGGTGATGTCTGAACCCAAAAATCTGCCCAGGAAGTGATTTCATATGTGACAGGCTAGAAAACACAGGGTGTGCACTTGTGGGCATGCACATAAGTATTAGGAGAAAGAGGGTAAGAGTGAGACAGAGAGAGGGAGAGAATGTGGTTTCCTCTTCTTAATTTAAGGAATACATATAAGACCTCATCTTCAAAATGGACCCAGTGGTAATAGTCCTTTCTCAAGAACATTTTTCAATGATACTATTCAATATAAGCAGGATCGAGATTTTCAGGGGTTTCTTTTTAAATTGAAGTGTCATAAAATTATCTTTACTTCTTTTTTTTTTTTTGAAAAAATCTAAGTTAATTTTAGGAAAGAAATCTCAGGAAGACACTGTTTTCCTTCAGTCCCATTATTATAGATGACATATATTCTATACTAGTTTCATTTGCTATCTATTAAATATAAAGTAAGAAACTGGCAACTGGCTCTAGTTTAGGGCCAGATGTATGAGTTAAGACTCATCTTTTTTGAGAGATTGCAATGTCAGTGTAGGTAGTGCGGGTGCCTGGGCTGCATGTAAATTACCCACAGTGCCTTGCATATGGTAGACACTCAATGTTAGTTATTGAATTGAGCCAAATGGAAATTGAATTCACTGAGACTACTATGGATGAGATACCAAGTATACTTATAATCATTTTTATAGTTTTTAAGGCTAAAAAGTATGTCATACTATCAACTCTGTGATACAATTCTGTAATAAATTCTGTTAACAATGAAACAGATCATATGCCACAATGAGGTATTTTCTTCAGGAGTAAGTGACCCAGGATGCTATAGGATTTTTATGCTTTCAAAACATTTTAAGTTTAACATTAGATGTTGCCAGAATATTTATAACAAATCAGCCCTGGTATTAAAGGTGCCTTTCATAACCAATGCTCTTACTTTCTTGCGTTTACATGTCACTGGGTTGTAATGGTTGTTTCATCTTCAACTTCTCCTGTGCTAGTTCATTGCCTCAGCGTGTGCATCACAAATGCTAGGGGAAAGTTGAAGAATCAATAAGCTTTTCCAATCATTTGTATTTCAGGGAAACAAAAGTCACTCTCTAAACACTATTTTAAGTGACCTGGTTGTGAGATTTTTGTTCTGTTTTGTTTTGTTTTGCAATCTAGGCAGCTATTTTTTATTCAAAGAATTCCCTCTACCTAACCCATAGGATAAAGCTGGCCTCTGGGTAAACCTGTTTACCAGTTCTTAAGGATGGCCTGCCTTCTAAGGCTGTATCAGATTTTTAACTAGTTCCTGTTCGAGAGTCCCACATCCTTCTCCCTTGATCTTCTGGTCTCTGGCATTCTGAGTGTCTAACAGAACACTGTCTATACTGCAGAGGGCGGTTGAACTCTTTGTCTGGGCTTTTTATTGAGAAAACAGAATTTGCCTGGAACAAAGGGAAACAGCAGGAGCTTGGGGCGGAAGAGGCCGGCGTCGTGTTGATGTCTGAGTGGAAGCTATATTTGTATTCTGAGGACCACAAAGACATCACTGGCAGATTGGATTATCTGACCCTAGGTTCTTTTGTGCATAGGAGAGGAGGTAAAGTCATATGTCCAAGCTGGGTTGGGGAAAGCTCAAATTCTAATCATTTAGAGCACTTTTCTCAACACACACTTCACCGATAGCATTAACTGAGCCTCCTCCAAAATACAGTTTAAGGACAAAAATGCCTGTGAATGGACAATAATTTGATGCAGAAAGTTTAAATTCTACTGTGTAGTGCACAGTAGTACACACATTTTTATCACCTGCGATTTCTCTGCTTGTGAGTCCTTTCATCAGAGTGGTTAAACATAAATCTACATGCTTTTAAATTGGCCGTTAAGAAAACCTGTTAATACGCACTGCTGCATACTCTTCCAGAAATCTAAGTATGTTTGAGGAAGTGCTGTCACTGTAGGTTAAGATGGATAAGGCAGGATGTGGTTGTGTTTTCAGGGGTCATTTGAAAGTAGTGTTCTGACATAATGTTACTTGAATGTGTTTAAACCATTTCTGTATTTCTAGATTTTGTTAGTCTTCTCAGGCTGCTATAAACACACACACACACACACACACACACACACACACACAGAGAGACACAGAGACACAGAGACACGATTGGGTGGCTTAGACCACAGTTTATTTTCTCACAGTTGTAAATGATGGAATTGGCAGATCAAGGTGTCAGCAGGGTTGATTTCTTGTGAGGCCTCTCTCCTTGGCTGGCAGACGGCGCCTTCCCCATGTCCTCACGTGGTTTGTCTTCTGTGCACACACATCTCTGGTGTCTGTGTCCTTATTTCCTCTTCCCGTAAGGACGCCATTCAGACCGGATTGGGGTCATATGGATGGAGGCCCAACCATATGACCTCATTTGACCTTACTTACCTCTTTAAAGACCCTACCTCCAAATACATTTTCATTCTGGGGTGCTGAGGGTTTAATGTGAACTTTGGGGGACAATACCATATAAAAAGAAATGTGATTTTACTTAGGAAAAAGGCCAGTGGTATGAATGAATGGATCTAGAAAGTGCCTCGAGCAGTCACCCTCATCGTTCCCCAGCACTGTAATCAATGTGTATTATCTAGTGGGAAGAAACACAGGCTTCAGAGCCCGGTTCCAGTCCAACTTCACAGCCCTAGATGAGATGCTGAACGGCCCCGAAGCAGTTTACCAACTCAGAAGAGAGGGTCACAGCAGCCACGGCCTTGAGCCACCGTGAGGAGAGACTGCGATCACACAGCACGCAACACCACACCCGGCTGGTGGGTGCCACTCGAGGTGTGCCAGCTACACACCATCTTACCATTCACCGTGACTGTTGTTAGCAGCACCCACACTTCATGTTTCTGATTGAGTTTCTATAGCATCACCTCCTCTGGGCTTGCTACTCCCTTTGTATTGTAAAGTCCCAAAAGGAGCTTTTGGTCATCAACAAATACTTTTTATTTTTATTTTTATTTTGTGTGTGTGTGTGTGTGAGACAGAGTCTTACTCTGTCACCCTGGCTGAAGTGCAGTGGCTTGCTCTCGCCTCACTGCAACCTCCATCTCCTGGGTTCAAGCAATTCTCCGGTCTCACCCTCCTGAGTAGCTGAGACTATAGGCGTGCACCACCACGCCCAGCTAATTTTTGTATTTTTAGTAGAGATGGGGTTTCACCATGTTGGACGTGCTGGTCTCGAACTCCTGATCTCAGGTGATCCACCCACCTTGCCTCCTAGAGTACTAGGATTACAGGCATGAGCCACTGCGCCCAGCCAACACATTCTTTTTATTGTAGTCTTCTTGAGCTTGTGTAGTCTTGCTGCCCTGGGCTTAGTTCAGGTCCCTACTTTTTTCTTTTGTCAATTATTCTAAGCCCACATATAGTTGAGAAACTACCAGACATTGGCTTCCCTGATGCCCTCATTCCAAGGTGACCTGAGAATTCCTAGTAAATTGGCAGCTGGGAGCCCCGTTCCATCCAGCCTACTTCACCCCCTCTTCAATCATTGAAAATCCTTTCCTCATTCTCTCTCTTTTTTTTTAATGGAGGTAAAATTCATATAACATGAAATTATCCATGTTAGTACCTCAAAAAATTAAAAACAGAATTCTGTCATCCAACAATTCCATTTCCAGGCAAATACCCAAAAGGACTGAAAGCAGAGACTCAGAGAGATATTTGTACACCCATGTTCATAGCAGCTTTATTCACAACAGCTAAAAAGTAGAGGCCTCCCAGGGTGTCCATCCAGGGACAAATGGACAAACAGAATGTGGTGTACTCATGCAAGAGAATATTATTCAGCCACAAAAGGAAGGAAATTCTGGCACAAGTGACACAAATGGACAAATCTTGTACAATTCCACTTACATGAGGTACATGGGAGTCAAATGCGTAGAGATGGAAAATGAACGGAGGTTGCCAGGGTTCGGTGGAGGGGAGAATGGGTACAGAGTTTCAGATTTGCAAAATGAAAAGAACTTTGGAGATGGATGGTGACCGTGGACTTCCACGTCGGCCTATCCTGTCCCCCTAAACAAGCCTGATCGCCCATCACGTCTCTTAAAAGCCATCACACACATTCTGTCCTGAATGTTGGGAACCTACCATTTGTTCTTGACACACTTCCCTCTCTCCTATCAGTTGGTCACCAGTTTCTATGCTTTTTGTTTCCTCACTGTTCTTCAAACCCCTCCACAGATTCACCAGCACCCTAGTTCAGTATGCTGACCTCTCTCCTAGGACTGCAGCCACAGCCTCCCCGGAGGCCCTGACATCTGCTTCTCCCCCACTCACATCCCTTTCCCACCACGGGATTTGTTTCCTATGGACATAAACCTGATGACGACCTCTGCCACCCCCGCCCCGGCCTCCTGCTCTGGGTGGAATTGTGCCTCCCAAAGGCTACGCTCCAATCCTAACCCCTGGGACCTGGGAGTATAGTCTTTTTTGGGAATAGGGTTGTTGCAGATGTAATTAAGATGTCAGTTAAGATGAGGTCATCCAGGAGGATGATGGGCCCTTAATCCAATGTGACTGGTGTCCTTTGAAGACAGGGAGACAGACAAGAGGTGAGATGGTCATGAAGACAGAGGCAGAGGTGGGAGCGAGGCATCTGCAAGCCAGAGATTACAGGCAAGCACCATGAGACAGAAGAAAGGCCAGGAGCAGTCGCTCTCTCAGCCTGTGATAGGACCGGCCCTGCCAACACCGTGATCTCAGCCTCCGGGACTGTGAGAGAAGTGTGTTGTGTTAAGCCCCTCAGTGTGTGGTGCTTTATTGCTGCAGCCCTGGGGCACTCACACACTTACAGACCCTGCCCCGCCCCAGCCTCGTGGCTCTGAGGACAACGACTGATCCAAGCCTGCCCTTGCCCAGGGTTCCCTGCGAGCACAGCTGCTCCTCCTGGGCTCTCTAGCGTGCATCCCTGCTCTGCGTGCTCCAGCCACACTGAGGCCTTTGCTCAGACCCTGTGAGAATAATACCAGAGACAGGGTGGCTTCAACAGCAGACACTCACTTCTCACAGTGCCAGAGGCTGGAAAGCCCATCAAGGTGCAGGCAGTTGGTTGTGTGGTGAGGGCCTGCCTCCTGGTTCACAGACGGTCTTCTCACTGTGTCCTCACGTGGCAGAAAGGGGGCATGGGAGCTTTCCAGGGCCTCTTTGACGAGGGCACTGATCCATTCATGGGCCTCCACCCTCATGACCCAATCACCTCCCACAGGCCCTGCTTCCCAACACCATCACATTAGGAGTCAGGATTTCCACATTTGGATTTGGGGAGTCCATAAACATTCTGCTTAGAACAGATACAGAGTAAAATGCTCTTGATGCTAGCTATAGAAGAAAGGTGTCATCCAAGAAAGGGCCATATTTGCTTAAATGGGTGGACGGAATCATGCTTTCTTCCACTCATGTCCACATGAGATTGGACTTTGTTATCTCAACTCTCGTGGAGTGTGTAGGTGAGGGGGATTTGAGGTTTTGATGATAAAAACAAGCCAGGTGTGGTGGTGTGTATCTGTAGTCCCAGCTACTTGAGAGGCTGAGGCAAGAGAATCCCTGAATCCCAGGAGTTCAAGGCTGCAGTACGCTATAATTGCACCTGTGAATAGCTACTACACTCCAGCCTGGGCAACACAGCAAGACCCCATCTCTAAAAATCAAAAGTAAAATTTTAAAAAGCCAAGCTTTGTAGTTTTCTGGCTTTCTCTGGTGAGGTCTTTAGTTATTTCCCTTCTGTTGTGCTTTAGAGATGTACCATGCCTGTACCCCCTTTCTTCTGATCCTCTTACAGGGTTGGAGATGAAAGCACAAGCAACTCCTAAACCCTGTAAGGTTTTAGCTAAAGTTCTGGTGGGTGATTTTTTTCCTCATCCTTTTGTCTTCAGTTAGAAGATGTGATGGGGTCCAGGCTCTGAACAAGAAGTCTATCTGCTGATGGCCCAGTTATTCTCTCTCTGCAGGTTCACTACAACATTGGCAAAAACCTGGCTGATAAAGGCAACCAGACAGCTGCCATCAGATACTACCGGGAAGCCGTAAGGTATGGCGAGTATGTCTTACAGAGGAATTATGTACACAGTTCGTTTTCACTTTCTGGTATGAAACACCCATTCCTTTAAAGACCCCAACTTTACAATATCTTTGCCGATTCCTGAGAGTTTAGTAAAAATTTACACTGAGTATTTAATGGTCAGCTTGGTTTTTCTCTCAACTTCCAGATTAAATCCTAAGTATGTTCATGCCATGAATAATCTTGGAAATATCTTAAAAGAAAGGAATGAGCTACAGGAAGCTGAGGAGTTGCTGTCTTTGGCTGTTCGAATACAGTAAGCATTGTTCTTATAATTATGCTAGTGACAAAGAAAGGAGCTCCTGCATTCCGTCGTCTAAGCCTTTTGTCTTCTTGTTTATCTTTGTGAAAACTGCTCCTCTAGGCCAGACTTTGCTGCTGCGTGGATGAATCTAGGCATAGTACAGAACAGCCTGAAACGGTTTGAAGCCGCAGAGCAAAGTTACCGGATGGCAATTAAACACAGAAGGAAATACCCAGATTGTTACTACAACCTCGGGCGTCTGGTAAGCTCGGGGTGCCATGCCTGCGGAAGGAAAGATGGGTTCTTTTTCTTATTTATAATAAAATGACATAGTGACACCCACCTACCCCATACATTTTATGAAGTTCTTTCACATGTTTTTATCTCATTTGAAGGTAGCTATTTGATTTCCTTATGAGTAATTTTTTAAAGCTCTCATTAGAGAGCAGTGCAGTGTGAATTAGTCAAGTTTAAGAAGTCACCCAGGCAAAAGGTTAAACCAAGGAATAAATTAAAATGTTAAAAATCCCATCCGCCCTGTAAAACAGTGCTCCAACGGGTAACTTCCTGATAAACATGGGTTTCTCTGCTTTTAAAACAAAAATTGAATAAGAACAGAAATTAAATAAACAAATCCGTAGTATGATTTCTGAGCTCCCTTGTTCTCCTTCTTCAAGGGAGCAGAGCTCTTCATCTGCAGGGAGCATTTCTCCCAAAAGCAGCTTTGGAGGGCACAGGATTTACTTAAAAGGGCTTTGACATTATTTGGTGGAAATAAAAAATAATGTGTTCTATAGTAGCTTTATATTTTTGGTTATTGACAGGATGTTTGTGAAGATCTAATTGCTCTTGATTTTCTTGACAAAAATAAAATGAGACACACACACAGCAAAATTCTTAAAACACGAATGGTTGTATTCTTCCTATAATCAACCATTTAATTTGGTTTCAAGAAACCAGATATGTATGTTCCTAATATATTTAGATGTATTCGATAAAAATTGCTAATTAAAAAAAATTTTGTTCATTTTAACCAAACTGGAATATATCCATAGTGATGTGACTTTCACGGAAGTTTATATGTAGATTTCCAGATTTTACCCAGCTTAGCCTTACAGGTAGGAAAGTATCCTCGTCTTCTAAAGAGATACCTGCTTACCCTCATTTTAAAGGCCTGAAGCTTCTTGGTTTTGTTTATTTTTTTGTTTTGTTTTGTTTTGTTTTTTGAGACAGAGTTTCACTTTAAAGAATTCTTATGTTGTCAAAACTGGTAGTTCCCTTTGCTGCTTGTTGTGGGTGTGATGGCTTTCAAGGATACTTCATGGAGCTGGAGCGCTTGGCTGCACACAGGCCCTGAGAGCCGGCTCTCCCAGTGGCACGGCCGCGGTGCGTGCCATAGCTTCTGGAGGTGGTGTTTTGTTTTGTTTTGTTTTGTTTTGTTTGAGACAGAGTCTCGCTCTGTCACCCAGGCTGGAGTGCAGTGGCGCTATCTCGGCTCACTGCAAGCTCCGCCTCCTGGGTTCATGCCATTCTCCTGCCTCAGCCTCCCGAGTAGCTGGGACTACAGGCGCCCGCCACCGCGCCCGGCTAATTTTTTGTATTTTTA